CGATCTCGGCTCACCGCAACCTCCGCCTCCTGGGTTCAGGCAATTCTCCTGCCTCAGCCTCCTGAGTAGCTGGGATTACAGGCACGCGCCATGAGCTTTGATTTTTAAGACCTGTCTTTCCTGCACAACCCTGGACATACCTTGTCTATAAGTGATGTTTGTTAGTTAAGTCTTAATTGAATTGCTTATAATAATGTATTCTACAAGCTGCTTTCAAAGGAAGAATTTCTTTTCTTGTGTCATAATTATTTGCCTGGGTGATATGTATAGCATTTGTATTGCATATACTTTTTATGCCTTGCAGATTTGTTTCCTAACCTTTGATAAAGAAGAATAGCTATGTCATTGGTTATTTAGAATTTAGCTGTATTGGTAGATTATCTTTTAAATAAGAAGCAAAAAATATTGAGTTATAGTCTATGTCAAGGATCAGTATTTTTTTTTTCTGTAAAGCGCCAGTTAATGAATATTTTAAACTTTTGGGGTCATGCATTCTTTGTTGCAGCCATTCAGCTTTGCTATCATAGTGCAAAAGCAGCTATAAACAATAAATATGTAAACAAATGAGTGTGGCCACATTTCTATAAAACTTCATTTACAAATACAGGTGGCTGGTGGACCAGATGTGACTGGCAGTCCTTAGTTTGCCACTCTTTGGTCTATGGAAGAATTATGTAGCCAGAGATTTTCCTGGATGTGCCCTTGTATACAGTGTTTAATGAGCATTATTCATTTCTCCTCTTTTAACTCACCAATGGCAAAGATTTATGCAAGTATTAATATTGACAAATTGTCCAGCAAATATGTGTATGTATATATGTGTGTGTGTGTGTATACGTGTGTGTGTATATATACGTGTGTGTGTGTATGTATGTGTGTGTATATGTGTGTGTGTGTGTGTGTGTGTGTGTGTGTGTGTGTATGGCCTCTGTTTTAGAGTAAGAGTAAACATCCATTTAAAAATACTAACAGATTATAATTTTTATTCACTGTCATTTAGTCAAGAAATTTTGATTGGGCACTGTGTTAGTCTGTTTTCACACTGCTGATAAAGACATACCTGAGACTGGGAAATTTTAAAAAGAAAGAGGTTTAATTGGACTTACAGTTCCAAATGTGGCTGGGGAAGCCTCATAATCATGACGGAAGGCAAGGAGTAGCAAGTCACATCTGGCATGGATGGCAGCAGGCAAAGAGAGAGTGCTTGTGCAAGGGAACTCTTTTTTTAAATCCATTAGATCTATGAGACTTACTCACTGTCATGAGAACAGCATGGAAAAGACTTGCCCCTATGATTCAGTTACCTCCCACCAGGTGCCTCAAAGATGATATTTGGGTGGAGACACAGCCAAACCATATCAAACACCTGCTGTTCACTCAGTACTGCCCAGGCTCTGAGTGGACATTGGTGAGGAAGATGTTGATCACTGACCTCATGAAACTTATAGCCCAGCAGGTAGACTGACATTTAACTGTTAATTGCAGGTGTGTTATATATTTTCATAAGCCATGTTGTGCCAACTGCTATGATACCATGTCTATTTAAAAAAATAATTGAAGTTTAGAAAATTGCTGTATGCAACAGTCTTTCCTTGGATGAGGATAATTACAGGTATTACAATTAAACTTTATGTTTTTATTTAAGAAAAGAAAAGAAAGAGAACAAAAAATTAATAAAGAAATGGAAGAAAAAGCAGCAAAGGAACTAGAGAAAGAATACTTGCAAGAAAAAGCAAAAGAAAAATATCAAGAATGGTTAAAGAAGAAAAATGCTGAAGAATGTGAGAAGAAGAAGAAAGAAAAGGTATTTTTATTAAAGTGATCAGTTAGAATACATAACTTTGGTGTTCATATGTGCCAATTACATCTTAAAACAAGTATTTAATAGAAAATAGGCACTGTCTTAGCATAAAATAAATACATGAAACTATCCCAGTTTATCCTGTCATGCTGTGTGTAAGCTTCAAAAATGAAAATGCATTTGTGGTTTTCTTAAATTGAGAAATATTAATAAGCCTGTTGATATTTTTTCAGTCAGGTTTAAAACTTGTTGTTATTCCTTTTAAATATTTTTTAATTCACTTTATGGGAAGTCTTACTACCATTTTATAAATTACTTTTCTTTGAAAACAGCAAATGCTTTTTTTCTTTGTGGGTTTGACTTCTTATTGTTTTTCAGAGCTGGACACCAATTCATATTCATGAATATGAACCTGATCATGTTCAATATTGTACTCATATTATAAAAATATGATTCAGTATTATGGCCAATAAGCCATTGGTGTAGGAAGCTATTGGAAAAAAGAAAAATCAGTAGAATTTGAGTGCAATGTATAGTTACAGAATATCCCTGTAAATATTTTGGTCTTGTCATTTTAAGGAAAAAGAAAAACAACAACAAGCAGAATTACAGGAGAAAAAGGAAATAGCAGAAAAAAAGTTTAAGGAATGGTTGGAAAATGCAAAACATAAACCTCGTCCAGCTGCAAAGAGCTATGGTTATGCCAATGGAAAACTTACAGGTTGGTTTTTATGTTAATGTGGCCTACATAAATATGGTTTGCAGAAGCAAATATTATACTCTTTTTAACAAAAATAGAAATGTGTAAAAATTATTTTTCTTTCAAATTACTATTTTCCAGAAGATTATACTATAAACATACCAAATTCCAATAGAGATGCTACAAATGTACTGTCACTCTCCACAAGTCAGATATTTGTATTTCTTAGAAGCAGTAGTTACAAAACTGCAAAGTTAGGCTTTAATGATTTCTAACATTAAGAATTAAATAATGTTCTCTTACATTTCTTCAATGGTAGAACATTAATTAGGATATATTTTAAGGGGCCATTTTGGCTTCTCTCCTTCTAACCTTCTCTAAGGCAGAGCTTCCCATGTCCTTGGCACATTCTTTGTGTGAGGTAGACAGCACATGAACCAGACACAAAACTGATTGGCCTTTAGGCTTGGTCTGATTATAAAGGGCAATGCATGTTTTTCTTTGTGCTTCATGTTGGAAGCTCATACCTTGCTGACAGCTGCCTTCACTTGTTTAAGTGATTTATTATTAAAATACCCCCATTCTGTTTTGTTCGCACAATAGAACATATTCCAGACTTTGTTTTGACCATCTTGGTGAAGTGAGTGTTGACATATCTATGCAAAGTGGTTTGCCAGTGTCTGAGAGACACATTCCTGCTGTCAGGATTAGGCCTCTCTCATATGTCATGAAGGGTCACCTGTTTTAGCTACTGAGCAAGGCCTGCTCCTTCTTTTTGTTTCTTGTTTGAAAAAAAGAGTAATAAGCAGTGGCTTTAACCCAGTAATTGGGTAGTAAACTTAAAAGTTTAGGTGGGAATACTAAACATACTGACTAGAAGTTAATTGCTAAAATAATGGATTTTTTTTTTGCATTTTTAATGAGTTTGATTCTAACAAGCAACATATTTGTCTACAAATGCTGTACTTAAATCTCTGTATTCTCTATGCTGGTATCATTTTTATAAATTGTGAAATAAAGAAATTTTGGTGCCAGTAGTGACTGAAGGATTTGGAGATAATTTATAAAATGTTCTTCCTTCAAGTGTGCTTATTAGAAGTCAGACATCACAGTACTTTAAATACTTTATATGCATCAGCAAAAGAATGCTCCATAACTCATAATCACAATTACAATGATATTGTGAAATCTTATTGACAGTGGTTCAGAATTTCTGTGATTCTAAATAATAATCTTGATTTAATATAACTTCATATGAAAAATAAATGTTTTTCTGTAAACTTTAGCATTTGACAAGAGGAAGATAGTATATAATCAGTAGTTTCCTAGACTGAATTAAGAAAATGAAAGTTTTGTTCAATTTAAGGATAGTAAAATTAGCTTAGTAAAATTTTTATAGGAGTTTGTATTTACATAGGTTTTAACACTAATATTATTCTTAGAATTATGATTTATGTTTTAATTTTAACTGTAACATTTGCTGTATTTGGAAAGTGTTACTTCTTTGAAAATGTTAAGGAGTTTAAGTTTTAAATAAGCCAAATTGGCTTATTAGTGATAATTTGTCCATTTGACATTTTAACATTTTTCTAGAAGTTTGAAGTGGCTTCTTTAATCTCAAGAAGTTTTTTCTTGTTTTGATCTGATTTTTCAATAATTTTAGGTTTTTACAGTGGAAATTCCTATCCAGAACCAGCCTTTTATAATCCAATTCCATGGAAACCAATTCATATGCCACCTCCCAAAGAAGCTAAGGATCTGTCAGGAAGGAAGAGTAAAAGACCTGTGATAAGTCAGCCACACAAATCATCATCTCTGGTAATTCATAAAGCCAGAAGCAATCTTTGCCTTGGAACTCTGTGCAGAATACAAAGATAGCATATGTGGAAAATAACATACTTTTATCTGGAGCTATTTAATTTTAAAATCAGAAATTGTTTTTTTACTGCTCAGTCAGTAATTCAACATTTAATGTGATTATTGACAAATAGCAATTTTTGCATTTGTATTTGGAGTCCTTAGAGTTGAGGAAGATATTTTCTAGATTTTGGTTTTTATAAACTTTTCAAGGTTGATTTTGGCATGTTGTTTTGCAGAATAAGTGGCTGCATATGTAATAATTGTGCTTGTATTTAGCTTGTATTAAAAGCACACTGTGATACCAATAAAACTAAAAATTTTTCCTGTATTGTTTATACTGTTATTAGTTTACATTTATGAACGTAAGATTAATTTATTCAAACAAGCACTTCTAAACTGCATGCTTGAGTAACCCTTAGAAAAATTTAAAGCAAAAAAGGAAATTGCAGAAAAAAAGTTTAAGGGATTATGGGTTAGAATTTAAGTGGGTTAGCACCAGAGTAATCAAAAGCAGTCTTTGCTGATGGCATATTTTCCCCTATGTAGATATTTTAATTTTATTTATATTTATAGAATTTTATTTATATTAAATGTATTATATTTATTTAATTAATTATTTTATCTCCTTCTGGCTCTGTTGCCCAGGCTGGAGTGTAGTGGCGTGATCATAGCTTACTCTAACTCATGGGCTCAAGTGATCCTCCCATCTCAGCCTTCTGGGTAGCTGAGATTACAGGAGCATGCCACCATGTACAGGTAATTTTTTTTTTTTTTTGGCAGAGATAGGGTCTTCCTATGTTGCCCAGCATGGGATATTTTTAAATTAACTAACTGAGGCACATTTTTTTTTTTAACAAATAAATCAGAGTTGTGATTTCCAAAGGAAAATTTTAAAACATTGTTTTTTACTCTGGCCGGGTGTGGTGGCTTATGCCTATACTCTCAACTCTTAGGGAGGCAGAATTGGGAGCATAGCTTGAGCCCAGGAGTTCAAGACCTGCCTGGGCCATATAGCAAGACCCCATTCTCCACAAAAAGGAAAAAAAAAATACAAAAACCATTATTTTGTACTCTGATCTTAGATTGATGTGTAGTAATCTTGAGACACTGATAATATTTTTCCACCCTGTAAAAATACTTAAACATTAATTATAATTAAGTTGCTAGTTTTAAAATTAGGATTATCAGTACATTATTTTTTAATGTTAAAAATGTTAAATCTTAAATGACATTTTACTGAGGTAGAAATCACAGATCTTATTAATAAATATATTTTAAGTATAATGGTTCAAATGATTGCCAAAATAATGCCCAACACTTTTTATTAAATGTCTTTTATCTTTTTTAGAAGATGATCAAGAAATGAAAATTTATTGTGGCAGTATAAGAATCAGTAAGTTCATTTAAAAGTGATTTCTATTTAGAATATATTCCATGTTTCTGCCAGATGAGTCATCTGCCAAGTTTCTGGTGATCTGCAGTGGTGTTGGTCAATGCAAGGAAACAGCAATACACTCTTTGAAGAGTATTCATATCACCAGAAGTCTAGGAAAATTCACTCCTAAGCAGAGAACAGCTGATTAGGAATCAGAGTTCATTGGGTCCAAATGTTGCTGAGATGTAGAAATATGAGCATACTTCTCAGAACCTGTCAAATACAGTGAAACTTACAGATGATCATTCTACTTGAGCAAATTCACCTATAAAGAGAGAACATAAGAGTTTGCCTGGGTAGCAATAATCTTGTTTATAAAAAACATAAAAGGTATATATATATATATATATATATATATATATATATATTCCTGAATTTGTGAGGATTTTAGATATAGTTGTTACATCTTAAAAAGCTAAGGATCTATCAGGAAGGAAGATCTAGTTTCAGCTATAACTATAATCCTAATAAGTCTTTCAGTCATTCAGTCATTCATCATTATATGTATCCTGAGTTCACTAGTTTGAACTTATTCTAATCGTAATAGGAAGCGTCTGGAAGATTTTAAATAGGTAATTGATAAGATATGGTTTATCCTTTGAGATTACTATGGCTGCTCTGAGGAAATTGGCCTGTTGCAGGCAAAGAATGGCAGCAGTGAGACCCATTGGGAGGACTTTGCAGTATCCAACAGAAAAGTCATGATACTTTGGATTAAAATGGCAGCAGTGACACAATAAAAAGTAAAGATAAACTTGGGTTATATTTTGAAGATGGAGCAAACAGGACCACTAATATTTGGATGTCAGATTGAGAAAAGGAGGAAAAATCAGATATGACTAGTTTTTTGGCCTGATAACCAGGTGAATGATGATAACTATACAGTACCAGAAATATGAAGACTGAAAAGAACAGGTATATGGGCCAAGATGGGGAGAGGGAAGTCTTTAAGAATTCTGTTCTAGATTTGTTAGGTTTGTGATACCAACTTTATAACCTGGTTAAGATGGTTAAATATATGATGCTCTAGGGAGAGCCAGGATAGTAGATACAAATTTGAGGAACATTAGCACATAGATGGTATTTAAAAGCATGGGAGTTGAACAGGTTACCTCAGAAGAGTTTAGATGGTAAAAAAGGAGGGCTGAGTAATCCAATATTTAGAGATTAAGCAGCCAGCAAGGATCCTGAAAACATGTAGCCAATGAAGTAGAAGGAAACCAAATAGAGTAGGATGTCACAGAAGCCATGAGTAGAAATGAGGTGTGGGCTCTGTCCAGTGCTGCGTGAGAGAGAGGAGCTTTCATTATTGGATTTCATAAGACCAAAGAGGGTCATTGTTGACCACAATGGCAAGCATGTCTTGAACAATTTCTACATGCCTGGTATTGTTGTGCTTTCTATATGTGCTATTTATATGTGCTATTTTAATCCTCACAACAGCCCTGTGAGATAGTTACTTTTATTATACTCATTTTATATTTGGGGGAACTGAGGCACAAAGAAGCTACGTTGCCTTTATACCTAGTAAATCACAGAACATGGATTAGAACCCATGAGGTCAAAGCCCAAACTTAATAATTATTAAGGTAAAAACAGGTATGAGACTTCAATCAAATGGGCTGGAGAGAGAATGGAAAGTGAGAAAGAGCCCATAACTAAAGACATTCTGGAAACGTTGTATAGTGAAGAAGAGAAAGGTGGGATAGTGCCTGGGCATGGTGACTCATGCCTGCAATGCCAGCACTTTGGGAGGCCGAGATGAGAGGATCACCTGAGGTCAGGAGTTTGAGACCAGCCTGACCAACATGGCGAAATCCCATCTCTAGTAAAAATACAAAAATTAGCCGGCATGGTGTCAGGGGCCTGTAATCCCAGCTACTTGGGAGGTTGAGGCAGGAGAATTGCTTGACCCTGGGAGGCAGAGGTTGCAGTGAGCCATGATCACACCATTATACTCCAGCCTGGGTGACAGAGCAAGACTCTATCTCAAAAAAAGAGAAAAAAAAAAAAAGTGGGATAGGAGCTGGAGCTGAAAGAGAACATAGGGTCAGACATTTTCTGTTTGTTTTGCTTAAGCTGGGTGGTATTAAATATGCTTCTCTGAGGCTGGTAATGATCCAATTGAAAGGGGGGACCTGAAAATTTAGGAGAGATCAGGGGTGATTTTAGGAATGCAGTTCTTATACAGCAAAAATGTTGATTTATAAGAAGCAAGAAATTTCTTCTATTTTCAGGGGGAGAACAAATTGTATGTATAGGTTCAGATGTGGCTGGATTGATAGTATTGGTGGCAGGAAGACAGCATAGGCAGTTCTTGTTAAATTACTTCTTGTTTCTCAGTGAGGTGTGAAGGGAAGGCAAGGTCATCAGCAGAGGAATAGAATAGGATGTTCCAAGTTTGAGGAAAAGGAAAAGGTAATAGAAAAAAGTATTTTGGAGAAAGAAAAATTTGCCAGAGAAATTAGTGAGATTGATGGGCAATGTTGTTTGCTGTTTGATATTTTGGGCCATAAAGACCAATTAGTGGAGTTCTGTCATGTTGTTCTTTATTTCTGGAGAAAAATTTAGCTACTTAGATATAGACCCAGATTCAGGTATAATTGGGGTTGGGCAAGTAGGCAGTAGGATGAAGGGAAAAAGGAACGAAGCAGTTAAAGTGTTTTCAAGGGAGTGATTATAGTACCGAAACATACTACTTAACACAGGTGCTGAGGAAGAGGTCTTCCATAGATTTCCCATGCTATTTTGAGGTTGAGTTGGGGGTGCTTGAGGGAAGCTAGAGAGATAGGGGCTTGTGGTCAGGATGTTGATGACAAGAACCAGAGTATGACCATGGAAGTGAGTGGCCCAGATGGAACATAGCAACGCAGTTAATGCAATTAAGAATGTTAGAGGCCAGAGCTAGTGCAGTGGCCCACACTTACAGTCCCAGCTACTTAGGAGGCTGAGGCAGGAGGATTACTTGGGGCCAGGTGCTGGAGGTTGCTGTGCACTTTAATGCACCTATGAATAGCCGCTGCACTCCACCCTGGCAACACAGTGAGACCCCGCTCTAAAAAAATAAGAACTATGGAAGTAACTTTTTAACGTGAATATTGAAAGTGTCAAGGGTATGATAGAAGTTGTGGTAGAGAGGAAGATGGCAAGCCGGGTACTAGAATGTCAGCGAACCATGGTAACTGGCTAGCTGGATGCCAGTCAAAAGGAACAGTATTGGCTAATATGGTCAGATGGAAAAATCTTCAGAAGAGTGGGAAGTTTTGAAGCAGGAAGGAGATGAAGTGGTTTGGAGGTACCAACGGAGAACAGGGTGGGTAGGACTTTCCTACCTACCAACTCCAAGTTCCTGGAGGTTGGAGGCTAGAAAGGGATAAAATGTTCTCAGGAGTCCATTACAGGTATGAAAATCTTTTAAAAGCATGGCCATAGCAAGATGGTTTTGAAGGACAGAGACCAAAGACAGAGCCACCAGTAATGACATTATGGAACCATTCCAGGAAGAGGTGATCGAGGATCTGATGAGGGCAGTAGGGTTGAAGAGAATAAATGTCTGAAAGAACCATCAGAAGGAGAACTTCGGCCAGGTGTGGTGGCTCATGCCTGTATAATCCCAGCACTTTAGGAGGCCGAGGTGGGAGGATCACTTGAGCCCAGGAGTTTAAGACCTGCCTGGACAAAATAGGGAGACCCTGTCTCTACAAAAAATTAAAAAATTAGCTCGGCGTGGTGAGCTAACTTGCACCTATAGTTTCACCCATTCGAGAGGCTGGGGTGGGGAGATTGTTTGGGTTCAGGAAGTCAAAGCTGCAGTGAGCTATGATCATGCCACTGCACTCCAGTCTGGGTGAAGAGTGAGACCTTGTCAAAAAAAAAAAAAAAAAAAAAGAGCT